CATTATCCATCTAAAGTGCCCATTAGCCATATATAATAACACATGAGCACAGTAGGTCTCCTTTCCCCTACTGGACAGTGCTAAGATAAGTTTTTCATTATTGCACACAGTTTTGTGGGTGTTGCTGAGTAGAAACATCATGCAAACTGGGGAATTCCATAATTTTATGCTTGATAAAATTAGTTAAGGAAAGAATGAGGAGGAAGATAGATGGGGAGGAGTGTGGGAAATAGTTGGAAAAGGAGTGGGAAGAGGAAAAAGACAAATAATCAATTTTCACAAAAGTTGTGTTACATATACAAGGTAATGCTTCTTATTTAATTTTCAGTTAAGTCAAAGGGTCATTGTAATGAAAAAGAGAGTCATTCTTACCTGTATGATATTGCCATCCATGATGTATAGGTAATCCCCACAAAATATTTTGTTCATTTTCTGGTGCAAATTTTTCAAAATACTTGGCTGTTTCATTCAATAGGATTTTATATGCTCCTTGTCTTTCAAGGTAATGCCAGAAATTAATGATGTACTTTCCATTTTCTATCTTATAATCACTAAGCTGATCAGGACAATCTTTCCACAGAGGGGGATATGCATCTGAGAGACTGGATACTACTGCAAAAGAAGCAAAATTACAGCCAATCACTACACAAGCCCAGGAAAATGGGAAGTCCTGGTGTTTAACCTGGAGATTAAAATTATGACAAGAAGTTAATGAAATTGGAGGAGGAAGTCATATGATTTTTTTTTGCACATCTGCTAATAAAAACTCTTTATTATCTTTACTAAAAATGATAGGGTGGAGAAAAATAAAGATAATGAGGTACCTATCTTGTTAATGATCTTCCAAGTAAATAATGTTGATTGTATATCAGTCTTTAGACTTTTTAGTAATGCTTGGTTTCTTCCTAAATTTATTTCTGTCTTTCATATTAACTATAATAATGAATTATATGTCATCTCCAGAGGTATTGTATTTTTTTAAAATATGTTTTTATTGATTTCAGAGAAAGGAAGGGAGAGGGAGAGGGAGAGGGATAGAAACCTTGATGATGAGAGAATCATTGATCAGCTGCCTCCTACATTACCCACAATGGGGATCGAGTCCACAACCCAGACATGTGCCCTAACTGGGAATTGAACCCTGACCTCCTGGTTCATGGGTCAATGCTCAACCACTGAGTAACACAGGCCGGGCAAGAGTATTGTATTTTAAAAGATAGCTCTTGATCTAAACTCATCTCTATTGGATGGCATTTAGCAACTTAAAAGTATAAAGTAAATAATTTTAGATAGAATTTGAAAGATATTTTAGTGATATTTTTTACTTTACCAGATCTTTTTTACATGTCAGTAATGTGCAAGCCCAGACTTGTGTGTCAGACCTGTTAACCCAAATCCCACATTAGTAGGATCTGAGGTAAAGGTAGTTTATTTGGGGTTACAGAAAAAAAGGAGGGAGAAAGTAAGGACAGGAGGATAAGCTCATACAGGAAGAGATGGTTGGCTTGCCTCCACTAAGGATATGGCTGCTTAATATTGTCTTGGAACTAATGAAGACCATTATTATGAAAGACCCAGTGGCCTTGAAAGAAAAAAGTGAGCAGAATTTTGTCTAATCATCCACTGATTAAGATGACCCAAAGGGTAGGAACTCTCCTGCCATTCTGCTTGCACAAGTCGGAGTGTCAAACAGTTTCTTACAGGTGTCCCAGGGAACAGCAGAGGAGTTGAAGCCCAAGGCAGTAGGTAAGAGGTACAGGTCAAACTGCAATACAGCTGCCAGTTGCACCTGCACAAAGCCGGTCTAAACCTGTGTGGAACTGGTCCAAGCAGCACGGAGCCAGAGAACCCAGAAACCTGAAACTGCCCAACAGGAATGCACAACAGTCACAAGACAAGCTGCTTTCTCTGGCCAAGCACTTGGGAATGTTCTCTGACCACAGTGAAATCAAGCTGGAAATCAATAACAGAAGGACAACAAGAAAATTACCTACAGCCCAGCCGGCATGGTTCAGTGGTTGAGTATCTACCTATGAACCAGGTGGTCATCCCCAGTGTGGGGCATGCAGGAAGCAGCCTATCAATGATAGTCTCTCATCATTGATGTTTCTATCTCTCTCACCCTCTCCCATCCTCTCTTAAATCAATAATAATATATATATTTTAAAATCCTATTTCCACTTGTTAATATATAAACATGCTATTGATTTTTGTTTTTTCACCTTGTATTGTAGGTAATTTTCTTTTTTAAAATATATTTTAATTGATTTCATAGAGGAAAAGAGAGGGAGATAGAGATAGAAGCATCAATGATGAGAGAGAATCATTGACCGGCTGCCTCCTACAAACCCCAACTGGGGATTGAGCTCGCAACCTGGGCGTGTGGCCTGACTGGGAATCGAACTGTGACCTCTGGATTCATAGGTCGATGCTCAACTACTGAGCCACACCAGCCAGAAATGGGAAAAGGATTTTTTTTAAGTGCCACTTACAATAACTCCAAAGAAAATTAAATATTTAAGTTAAAATATAAGAAAACATGTAAGGAATCTGTGTGATGAAATAAATCAAAGAAGACCTAATTGCTTGTAAAGACATACCATACTCATAGTTTGGATAATTTAATATAGTAGAGATATCAATACTCCCTACATTTATATATAGGTTCCACCTAATTCTTATCAATAGCTCAACAAGGTTTATTTTCCCCAAATATAAAGAATTTTACTCTAAAATTTATATGGAAAGAGAAAGTCCCTATATTATCTAAAAACTATTTTGAACTATAGGAATACAGCGGGAGGAGTCATTTTCCCTGGCTGCATACATAGCCACAGAAATCAAGACCATGTGTCACTGTTGGAGGACTAGGCATATAGATTATGAAACAGAATAGGGAAATGAAATAAATCTACACAAATATGAGTCCTTGGTAACCTAGGTTAAACTTAGGCATGTTATCTAAATTACAGTTTTGGGTCTCCAGAACACTGAGTTGACAAGTTAACTGGAGCCCTCTGACCTTGGGATAGCTGTGCTGTCCTTCCCAGGTAAAGGAAAAATGTGTCTTTTAAGACCAGTATGAAACTTATAGTTTTTTCTTGAAATAATTGTTACCATACTTCACTTTACCGTGCCCCAGGTGGTCTCTGGGCTATTTGTTGTCTGGCTTGTCCTTCTCCTGCTCTTCATCTTCAGAGGACTGCTTGGAGTCGCTGCTCTCTGTGGCTGAGGTAGTTGATTGTTTACAGCTACAGGTTATGGCTCCAGGCGCAAGGTCCTCAGTCAGGCTAGATCCTCTCTTGGATTCCTGATGCAGTTTAATATTTCTAACAGGAATCCATACAGGTTTGGAAAAATTCTCTGGGAATATACAAGCGTACCCTCTGCCAAAGGTTAAATAGTGGGCCAGGTCCCTTCCATAAACCAGATTCGGGATCCTTCCATTTAACTAGACCATTTTCTTTTGATTTATTCTGACACCAATGTAGCTCCATAGGTGTCTTTCCATTAGCATCACAAGTGAAAAAATTTAGGGTAATTAAAGCTAGGTGCAGCCTACCCGAAGGTGATTTCTCCATCATCCCCCTTTTTTGTTTTTCTAGTTGAGATTTCAGTCGTTGATGTTGTCGTTCAATAATGGCCTGTCCTTGGGAATTATATGGTCCATAGGACTTTTGAAAAGGTATCTACAACAGAGACATGTAATCCCCAAGACGTCCAAAAGGAGTATAATGTGTTACATCCATTTGCCAGATATGGTCCTTTAACAAACCTCTAGGGTTGACTCCTGTGTTAGGCCCTTGAGGTAGATGTAACATGCAAGTGGGACATTCCTTGATAATCTGTTTTGCTTTCTGTCATGAGATTGAGAATTGTTTGGACATTTTGGCCGGCTGATGTAAAAGCTGATGAGATTTTGAGGCCTCTTTTAATAAAGCAACCAATTGATCAGCATGTGCATTTCCCTTAGTTAATGGGCCAGGTAATACACTGTGAGCCCTGATATGAGTGATATAAAAAGGGTATTTTCTTTGCTGCACAATCTGCTGAACCTTTTTAAACAGTAAGAATAAATTTTGGTCACTAAGCCATTTCAACCGAGCAGTTTCAATTCTACTTACTAGGCCCGAAGCATAAGAGGAATCAGAAATTATATTAATAGGCTGTTGGAAATCTTGCAACTCAGCCTTAATAGCTTCTAATTCAATTCTTTGCACAGAAGTATGACTGGTCAGTATGACTCGGTCAGAATTTATAGTATGATAGGCAGCTTTCCCATTAGATGACCCATTAGTAAAAACAGTTAAAGCTCCAGGAATTGGTTCCTGCCTAGTATTTTTTGGTATAATGATGGCGGTCTTATATAAAAATTGTAGTAGTTTATCTTTTAATAGGTGACAACTAAGTTCCTGTGAATATCCACTTAACCCAATTTGCCAATTTAAGTCAGTTTGAAATAACATTTTGTTCCAATTATCTATAGGAACGTATGCACAGCCAACTCGGACCCTGAAAGGCAGGTGACGTGCTAGGACCCTCAGGCATTCGCCAGTCGGGAGTCAGGCCACCCTTGGGATGCCTTACAGGTGAACGGCTTAAGTTTTAAAGTAGGCAAGGAGTTTTCCCGGAGTAACACTGATACAAGTTCTTTCTGGTTTACTTCCAATTTTGGGTGGACAGTTTAAGCTTTAAAGTAGGCAAAAACACTTACTTCAGAGTCTCATCTGGAGTTCCCACTTTCTCAGTGCCAAATTTTAATCTCACTGTGCTCGAGAAAATTTAGTTTAGAATTTTTGGTACTTCACCCCTTTAGAAAAATCAATTTTAATTACATGTGCTGACTACACCAAATGTTCCAATTATCTATAGGAACGTATGCACAGGTGACCCAGAGCGCCTCATTTGGATATACCAATACAGACGTCAAAGGGTACTTACTATTAATTAATATGGCCGAGCTTAACCAAAAACTAAGAAGAGAGAAGACACAGGAGATAAACAATGCAAGAAATCACACAGGTTTATTTATCAGAGAGCTGATGGGTTTCAGTCCTTGGCAGGACACCCGGAGACACTCGCTGACAGAGGAGACACATGGAGGTCGTCAAAATAAGCTGCGGCAAGGAGCTTGGTTTCTTGACTCGAAGAGAGGCCTCTAGCAGTTTGCGCTCAGGCAGAGCAGGAATGGCAGTTTGGCAGTTTCCAGGGAGGAGGAGAGCATCCTGTCTGTGGAGGGCAGACAAGCGTCTGAACCGCAGCAGATTTGCTCTCCTTAAATCCTTGAAGCTGGGCGTCTTCAGTGTCTCATATCCGGTGCCAGACATGGGTACCGCCCTGTTATATAGGTATACACTCAGGCAGGAAAGTTGTGTACATGTTCAAAGCTTATTAATCACACACAAACATCTTATTTTTGGAGTTGTTTACAAGTTTTGGTCTAAGAATAAAATGGGGTCTACTTATGCTAACTTATGCTAATACAAAATGGAGTCTACTTTATGTTAACTAAACTTCTACACTAATAAAAGAGAAACATGGTAATTAGCGTACGACCACTACCCTTTTCATTGGCTAATCAGTGAGTATATGCAAATTAACTGTCAGCCAAGATGGCGGCCGGCAGCCAGGCAGCTGGAAGCGAACATGAGGCTTGCTTGCTGCAGTGAAGGAGGACTCCAACGTTCCCCGCCTCACTTGCCGGCCTCTGAACTACAACTCTAAGCAACTATGTACTATGTTACAAATAAGAAGATAAACAAAACCCCAGAAACCGGCTTTCATTCAGCCGGGCTTTAGCAACATTGTATCGATGTTTTCAGCGGCGAGGCCTCAGAGCTAAAGCTGGCCCAGAATAAAAATAAAAAAAAAGAAAACAAGGAGCGGTTGGAAGCTTCAGTCACTCGCTTCCGGAAAACAGCCCTCAGCCCCTCACCCAGACTGGCCAGGCACCCCAGTGGGGACCCCCACCCTGATCCAGGACACCTTTCAGGGCAAACCAGCAGGCTCCCACCCGTGTACCAGGCCTCTATTCTATATAGTAAAAGGGTAATATGCCTCCCAGCACCGGGATCAGTGGAGCAGTGAGGCTCCCGGCACCGGGATCAGCGTGACAGGGGGCAGCGCCCAAACCCCTGATTGCCCTGCGGCTCTGTGTGTTACAGGGGGTGGGGCCACAACCTCCCTATCTGCCCTGCTCTGTGCCTGATAGGGGGGAGCTCCCCAATCCCCTGATTGCCCTGCGGCTCTGTGTTTGACAGGGTGCGGCGCCCCAACCCCTACCCCCCCCCACAGGCCCTGGTCTGTGTGTGACAGGGTAGAGCCATAACCTCTCCATCGGCCCTAACCCGAGTGTGACAGTGGCTGCCGGAAGCCAGTCCATCCTTGCTGCTTGACACAGTCGCTGCAGGAAAGAAACATCTGCACAGCATATGTTTCAAGGGACCTGGCATATATAGCATATTGTTCTTAATATGTTTGCTCTCCTTAGCGCCATGTGTTTTAACCAAGGTCACCTCTCCGAGAAAGGTTGTTTCCCCAGGTGGGGATTTTTCCCTGAGGTTAGGGAGGGGATACAACCCCTTAACTAAATGCCTGGTGGGTAGTTAATCTACATAATCTTTACTCCCTGGAATGGAGATAAGAAACGCCCTAACCTTTGGAATAGAAATTGACAGGATTAAAATCAACTGGTATAAATACAGATGTAACAAGACAACAGAACACAGAACCTAGAGACAGGACTTGGCTGGAGATCCTACACAGAACCTAGAAACAGAACCTAGAGAGAGAACCTAGGGAGAGAACATGGCAAAAGATCCTAGACAGAACCTAGAGACAGAACTTGGCTGGAGATCCTAGCCAGAACCTGGCTACAGAACTTGGTTGGAGATCCTGACCAGAACCTGGCTACAGAACTTGGTTGGAGATCCTGGATAGAACCTGGCTACAGAACTTGGTTGGAGATCCTGGATAGAACCTGGCTGGAGAATCTGGAGAACCTAGACAGAACTTTGCTGGAGATCCTGGAGGGAGAACCCAACCATGATGATCAACTGAACGCTGCCTCCATGTCCTTCCTTCTTCGCCGACTCTGTCCACACCTTTGGGGACCCCTGGACCTGCTGGGGTTGGACCCCAGCAAGTGGCAGCGCCCCAACCTCCTGATTGGCCCTGCTCTGTGGGTGATAGAGTAGAGCCATAACCTCCCCATTGGCCCTGCCCTGAGTGTGACAGGGTGCAGCGCCCCAACCCCCTGATCCGCCCTGCTCTGTGTGTGACAGGGGGCGGTGCCCCTACTCCCCTATCGGCTCTACTCTGTGAGTGACAGTGGGGAGCTCCTCAATCCCCTGATCGGCCCTGCTCGGTGAGTGACAGGGTACGGAGCCCCAACACCCCTGATGGGCCCTGCTCTGTGCCTGACAGAGGGCAGCGCCCCAACCCCCTGATCAGCCCTGCTCTGTGCGTGACAGGGGGTGGTGCCACAACCTCCCCATCGACCCTGCCTTGAGTGTGACAGGGGGCGGTGCCCCAACCCCCCAATCGGCCCTACCCTGAGGGTGGCATCGCAACCTCCTGATCCACCCTGCTCTGTGCATGACGGGGCAGCGCCCCAACTCCCCAATCGGCCCTGCTCTGAGCCTGACCAGGGGCTGCACCTAGGGATTGGGCCTGCCCTCTGCCACCCGGAAGCAGGCCTAAGCCAGCAGGTCGTTATCTCCCGAGGGGTCCCAGACTGCGAGAGGGCACAGGCCGGGCTGTGGGACCCGCCCCCAGTGCACACATTTTTGTGCACCGGGCCTTAGTATTACTATAACAGGCTTCTTCAGTGTCTCATATCAGTGTGCTCCGGTGGCCTTCTGGGCTTATCAGGATGCACACGCAGGGGGTTACAAGTTACTTATCAGGAGTTAACATGCAGGGAGCTGTTGATCAGGAGTTACAAGTTATATGTCAGGAGTTAACATGCAGGGAGTTACAAGTTACTTATCAGGGTCTCACACACACACACACACACACACACACACACACAAATTAAGTTTCACTTCTAAGTAAAGTTTAAAATTCACTCTAATAAAGAAATGAAATTTGATTATACTATCTTATACTCACTAAACTTATTACTGTAACACATTTATTTTTTAAATTTTACTTGTCCTAAGTTATGGACAGTAAATGACATTAATTAAATTTCTGGTGTTAGTCTTTGGGTAAATTTACATAAACTTTGTTTAAGGAGGCAAAAGACAAATTATTTACTTTAGCTTATGAGAATCAATATATCGATTTTTAATTATAGTTAGACATCTGAAGGAAACCTCTTTTTTATTTCCATCCAGATACTTTTCTTTTTCACACAAGCAACATATGTAAGAAACATGGTTGCCTTTTGAGATTTTAACAAATACTGCCGCAAAGCCATATATTTCAAGTGATTTTTTATTTATGGTGACTAATTATTGTCAGATTTAGTATTTTAACAACAATCTGTAAATGTTAGCAATTATATTTTTAAAGAGTATCCCCTTTGGCTTATTTGCATATACAGAGGAATCATGGGAAGCCTTCAGTAACCTTTTTAGAAGAATTTACTTTACTAGGATTCAATTGCTTACAAGGATAGTAATTTAAGTATTTTTTTTAAAAAGGCAAAGCAAAGCAAGTAAATTTAGTATTTAGTAAACTTCTGATTCACGAGGGGCAAATGCTTTCCCACCTCCAGCCTAATTTAAAATGCAGCAGCAAGGAGCTTTTGTTATTTCAAATTACATCTTAAAATTCCACTGCTGTATTTTAAGAAATATTAAACAAAATAACTTGTTTTGCCCTTTCTCAGAGGCAAAAACTTGAAATATATTTGTTAACTTTTTATTTGATAAAGCTTTCCATGTGATTTCAAGTATATTAAATTTGGCTAAATTTTAAAATCCTTTAAAAAGAGAGAATAAACTTTTGAAAACATTTCAGGGCCCGTGAAATTTCTCAAAGTCATTCTTTGGTTATAGTTTTGAAATCCAACTTGATATATATATATATATATATATATATATATATATATATATACATATATATATATATAAAATTTAAAAATTATATACTTATAATTATCAAGAAATATCAATTAAATTTAAACTGGTTTTAAAATTTCGGTGGGCTCGCCCTGACCCTGGGGGGCGCCCTGACCCTGGGGGCCCCAGCGGACCAGGGGACCGGCCGGGGTGGGGCTTCCAGGCGGAGGCCTGGCGGGATGCTCACCAGGTCTGCAGGGCAGGCTGCTGGACCACAGCAGGCAGACGGGTCTCTCCGCAGTCTTGGTGCTGGACGTGCTGGTCTCGGTGTGCTGCTCGCTGCCCCCAAGCCCAAATCAGAATTAGTCCTGGGGTTGGGGTGAGACTGCGGAGGCGAGGCGCGTCCCCAGCGGGCCTGCCCCCCTCAGGGGTCCCCGCTCCCAGGTGCAGCCTAACCTCACCTGCGCTTCTCAGACAGGACCTGGAACAGCTCCTGCAGCTGGGCGCTCTCCCGCAGGCGGCTGAGCTCGCTGGTGAACGTCCCGTCCGAGTGCCTGAGGGCCCCTGGGGAGGGCAAGGGGCGCGGGGCGCGAGAGGGTGAGGGCCGGGGGCAGGGCGG